CCCGCGCTCGCCGCCGCCGTCGTCTCCGTCTGCGCGGCCGCGCGCGCGGACGCCGCCCGCGGCGCCGCCGCGGGCGACGCGGCCGCGGCCGGCCGCGTCGACGACGCCGACGCGCTCCGGCGGAGCTGCGCCGCCGCCGCGCGGTCCGCGGCGGCCGCCGCCGCGGGCGACGGCGACGGCGCGGCGCCGTCCTGGGCCCAGCTCGCGGACGCGCTCGACCGCCTCGACCGCGGCGCGCCGCGCGACCCCGGCAAACCCGAGGCGACGCGCGCGGGCAAGGTCGCGGCCTGGTTCGGCGGCCTCGCCGGCGGACGGAAGAAGGGCGAGGACGACGACCGCTCGCGGCTCTTCGGGGCCGCGGAGCCGGCGGCGCCGGCGGCGGCGCCCGCGACGCCGCCGCGGGCGAAGAAGGCGGCCGCGACGTCCGCGACGGCCGCCGCGGACCTCGAGGGCCTCAAGCAGGGCTTCGCGGAGCGCGGCGAGAAGCTGTCGCGCCTGAGCGACAAGGCCGAGGAGCTCAACAACGCGGCCGAGGAGTTCGAGCGCATGTGCACGCGGCTGAACCGCGACGCGCAGCGCGGCGGCCGGTGGTGGTGAGGGACCTCCTGTTTTTAATAAGTCGGGGCTTGCCTATCGACTTGCCTATATATAGATCGTGGACCCGTGGTTGTGGAGGAGTTGTGGAGGCCTTTGTAGGCTCTTTGTAGCCTCTTTGTGGGCGGCGTCGAGGCGTAATCGGCGAGCGGGATCACCGAGCTCGGCCAGGCAGATCAGGTGTCCAGGACTCGGCCTCACACGGCCCGCGTCCCCGTCCCCCGTACGAACTCATGGAGGCCGACGGCGCGCCAAGCACGGGCCCGAACGTGGAAAACCCGGCCGAGGCCGAGCTCCTGAAGCGCTTCTTCGCCACGATCAAGGCGGTGCCGGAGGAGCGCCGGGCCTCGGTCTACCGCGTCGCCATCGCCGCCGCGGAGCGGTCCGCCCTCGGCGAGGACGTCGAGGCGGATGCGTCGCGGCCCCACTCGCGGGACCCCGTGTTCATGGCGCTCGCGCGCGGCGTCGTCCGCAAGCGCGACGAGGCGTCGGCGTCGGCCGCGAAACGGCCGAAGAAGCCCAAGGGCCCCACCGACGCCGACGCGAAACGGCCGAAGAAGCCCAAGGGCCCCAAGGCGCCCCTTCCCGGGCGCCGCGGCGGCGGGCAGGCCTTGCCGCTCTTCCTCGGCCCGCGGACCGTCGAGTCCGCGCGCGCGGCGATGATCGGCTACGTCGACGGCGTCTACGGCGCGAGCCGCGGCGGCGCGCGGTGCCCGCCGGACCGCTACGCGGGCTGGAGCGTCGTCATCACGGGTAGCGCCGTGGAGCCGCTCCGGTTCGTCGACGGCGACGGGAGGGTCTGGCGCACCCGGAACGACGCGGCGCGGAAAATGGGCCTCGTGCCAGAAATGCGCCCGCCCGAGACGCGGAAAATGGACCAGCAGTGGGCGAAGACGCACTTCGGCGACCGGCGCGCGCTCCTGCTCGAGGGGAGCGCTCCGGCCGCCGCGAAGGACGCCGCCGCGCCGCCGCCGGCCGCGGCGGCCCCGGACCGGGCGCCCCGCGCGTCGCCGCCGGCCGCCCGCGCGTCGCCGCCGCCGCCGCCGCCGCCGCGGCCCCTCGGGACGCCGAAGACGACGCCGACGCTCGCGCCGGGCGCCGCGCCGGCGCCCCCGCGGGCCGTCGCGCTGCCGCCGCCGGCCGCGGCCGCCGTCGCGGCGGTGCACCGCGCGCTCGCGCCGACGGCGCTGCCCGCGCGCCTCGCGCAGCCCATCGGGGCGCCGCCGCCGCCGCGCGCGGCCGCGCCGCGCGAGGCCGCGCCGCCGCCGGCCGCGCCGGAGGCCGCGGACGAGCCCGCCGCGCCGCCGGCCGCGCCGGAGGCCGCGCCGCCGGCCGCGGACGAGCCCGCGGCGCCGCCGGCCGCGCCGGAGGCCGCGCCGGAGGCCGCGGACGAGCCCGCCGCCGCGCCGTCGCCGCCGCGGCCGCCGCCCGCGGCCGCGCGCATCCCGCCCGTGCGCCAGTCCTACGCGCCCGTCGCGTCGCGGCCGTCGCTCAACGTGACCTTCCGCGCGAACCGCCCGCCGCCGGCGCGGCCCGCCGGCCCGGCCTCGAAGCGGCCCGCGCCGCTCGACGCGCTCCAGGCGCTGCGGAACCCGTCGCCGCGCGCGGGCCACCCCGACGGCGGCGAGCCGCGCGCCTAAGCGTCGGGCGAGCTGGGTTAGGGGAGGGGGGGGGGCGCGCCGCCGCGCTAGACTTCGACCTGGCGGTTGTGGAGGACCATGCCGAGGATCTTCTCGTCGCGGTCGAGGCGCTCGCTGTCGATCTTGCCGCGGTGGACGGCCTCGCGCGCGAGGCTCTCGATGCGCTCGCGCCGGCTCAGGTTGACGTCGTCGTCGTCGGCGAGGATGTCGAGGATGGTGTTGGCGTTCGTCGCGGCGACGGCGCCGTCCGGGTCGCGGAGGCAGGCCTCGAGCGCCGACGCGTAGGCCGGGTCGCCCGCGGGCACGTCGACGGCGGTCTGCGCGCGGAGGAGCGCGACGGCGGCGTTGGAGTTGTTCGCCTTGGCCGCGCCGTTGATGGCCGTGCCGAAGGTCACGGCCGTCGGCGCGATCGCGCTGCCCTCCATGGCCTCGAGGAGGTCGAGCACCTCCTTGAAGCGGCCCTTCGCCGCGAGCGAGTTGAGCGCGATGTTGTAGGAGACGACGTTGAGCGAGATGTTGTTGCGCTGCATCTCCGTGAGGAGCGCCGTCGTCGCGTTCTCGAGCTCCGCGCCCTGCGCCGCGTGGAGTAAGGCGTTGTACGTGCTCCGGGGCACCTCGAGGCCCTCCTTCTTCATGCGCCGCCAGAGCGTCATGGCCGTCTTGCCCTTGAGCGGGCGCGACTTGCCGCAGGCCGTGATGGCGCCGTGGTAGAGGGGCACGGACCGCTTCTCCTTGGGGAGCGCGTCGACGATGGAGAAGGCCGTGCGGTAGTCGCCGACCTTCGCGACGGCCTTTAAAGCGAACTTGAGCGACTCGCCCGTCATCTCGCCGATGGTGCCCTCCTGCTTGAGCGCCTCCTCGGCGAACTCGCGCACCTTGCCGCCGTCGTCGAGGCGCGTCGCGGCGATGATGCCGCACCGCAAATCCGACGCGGACCGGTCGGAGATCGCGCCGACGGCGCCGAGGCACTCCGGGTTCTTCCGCGCGCGGAGCAGCGCCGGCGCCAGGGCCGACAGGAGCGGGTCGTCGGGGGCCACGCCCGCCTTCTTCACGCGGGCCATCGTGTGGCCCACGAGCGCGCCCAGGGCCGCGGTCGGCGCGTTCGTCGTGGCGACGACGCCCAAGACCGCGCCGAACGCGTCCGTCCGCTGCGACAGCAGCACGTCGCCCTGGGGCGAGGCGGCGGCGGCGTCGATGGCGCGCAGGCCGTCGACGGCGCTGAGCTTGCCGAGGTCCGTCGCGAACTCCTCGAGCGTCGTCGAGTCGAGGAGGGCGACGACGCTCGAGAGCGACGCGGCCTCCGTCGCCGGCGCGTCGGCGACGGCGCTGCGCGCGAGGGTCGGCGCGCGCGTGGCGGGCAGCGCCTGGAAGGCGCCGCCGAACGCGGCGAGGGCCAGCACGAGTGACATGGTGGAGCGCGACGCCATCGTGGTGGGCGTCAATATGATCTGTCTGATGTGGCCCGTGCATGTTTGCCGTCATCGCCGGCTCACGGCAGCCCGGCATCTCGGACCGACGCTCTCCCGAGACGCGCACACCTTCAGCCTCACCGCCGCCGGCCGGGAGGCAGGCGATGGCCGCGGCGGGGTCCATGCTGCAGAAGCTGCTCCAGCCCTTCGCGCGGCCCGCGCGGCCGACCCAGGTGAGCCTCGGCGAGTCCCGCGGCGCCGAGGGCAAGGAGCCGGAGCTCAGCGACGAGGAGCGGCGCTGCGAGATCGTCGAGACCTTTTTGCGGCGCGACGCGCACGGCGGCTTCGGGCTCTTCTTCGCGAGCGGCGGCGGCGCGGCGGTCGTCCGCAAGGTCTCGGGCATGTGGGACGCGCGCGTCAGCGACGGGCGGCGGCTGCTGGCGCCCGGCGACACGGTCGTGCGCGTGGGCGGCTTCCCCACGGCGACGGCCGGCGACGTGCGCCGCCAGATGGCGTCCGCGGAGACCATGGTCGCGCTCACCGCGCGGCGTACGTCGGCGCTGCGGCGCCGCGTCGGCGGCGCCGACTGCGTCGAGGCGGCGGAGCGGAAGCCGAGCGGGCCTACGGTGGCCATGGAGGACTCCGCGGCCGTCGAGGAGGAGGCGCGGACCCTCAAGGTGCCCGTGGACCGCCTGTCGTGGCTCGCGGAGCCGGAGCGGCCGCGCGAGACCAAGGGGGGCGAGAGCGAGCTCCGCGCGGGCCTCCGGGGTCTCGCCGAAGGGCTCATCGAGAAGCCCAAGGAGCCGAAGCCGTCCGACGACCTCGACGTCATCGCGAGCGCGGCGGAGCGCACGCTCGCGCCGCCCCCCTCCAAAATCTTCAAAGAGGGCCTCGAATTCTCCGCCGTCGGCGCCTGCGTGGACATCAACCGCCGGTTCGGGACGTCCCGACCAAACTTTGAAATTCTCTCGCTCGGTCAATTCGAAGTCGATTCGGCTGTTCTTGGACGAGTCGATTGCTCTCAGCGAGTCCTCGAAGCACAGCCGAAGAGTCTGGTCCACACCGTTCGATCACGCGCACATTGAAGTCGGGTTGAAGATTCGAGTTTCCACGCAGGTCGGCGCCGCGATGGCGCGCGAGCTCGACCGCGTTGGGGAGACCGCCAAGACGTTCCAGCGGGGCCTGGAGGCCGACGAGAGCGACGACGGCGGCGAACAGCGGTCCTACGGCGCCGCCGCGCTCGAGCTCGCGGCCGCGGCGGGGTCCTTCGCGACGGCCGCGCGCGTCGTGCTCCGGCCCGAGTTCCGCGCGGACGTCGTCCGCGCCGCGGAGCCCGGCGGCCAGGCGGCGAAGCGGCCCATCAACGTCGCCGCGCTCCTCGCGCCGGGGCTGCTCCTCGTGTCGCGGCACCTGCTGCCCTTCGCGGACGCGCTCCGCAAGTCGCCGCTCCACGCGCGGCGCCGCGACGGCGCGCGGTGCCTCGCGGACGTCGAGGCGCGCGCGAAGCACGCGTCGCACCTCGCGGAGCTGGCGCTGACGCTGACGGACGAGGACGCGCGCGAGCTCAGCGAGCAGGACCTGGAGCAGACGCTTCTGGGCGCCTTCGCGTCCTTGAGGGACGCGGCGTCGGGCTGGCGCGACGCGCGCGCGGCCGCGCGGCGGTGCCACGCGCTCGCGCGCGCCTGCGCGGCGGCGCTGCACCCGCCGGCGAAGAAGCGGCCCTCGCACGAGGCCGCGGCCGTCGACGTCACCGTCGACTTCTGCGACACGCCCTCCGGCGGCCGCGGCCTCGTCCGCGACGCGGAGCTCGCGGGGAACCACCTCACGGAGGCCATCTTGGCCGCCATCGACGCCGCGGCCGCGGCCTGCGGCGCCCTCGACGCCGCGTGCGGCGGCGACGAGCGCGCGGCGGCCGCGCTCGGCGACGCGCGCGAGGCGCGGTGGCGGCGCGCGGACGCGGACCGGCGCCGCGAGCTCCAGGACGTGCTCGTCGAGCGCGAGACGTCGCTCGCGAAGCAGGCGCTCGACATGGCGCGCGTCACCGTGCCCCACGCGGGCGACCTCACGGCGCTGGCCGCGAGCGCGGAGCGCCGGCTCCTCGCGACGCTCGCCGCGGAGCCCGGCGCCGCGGCGCCCGCGCGGCCCGGGGACGACGGCGCCGCCGCGCCGCCGCGGGCGCGCGACGCGGCGCCGCCGCCGCCGGAGGGCCCGTCGGCCTCCGACGAGGCCGCGCTCCTGCAGAAGCTCGACATGGCCAAGCCGCCGCCGGAGGGCGCGTCGGCCTCGGACGAGGCCGCGCTCCTGCAGAAGCTCGACATGGCCAGGCCGCCGTCGTCGCCGCCGCCGGACGCGGCGGTGTCCCCGCCGCCGCCGCCGCCCGACGGCGCCGCGCCGCCGCCCGACGGCGCCGCGGCGCCGCCGCGGCCCGAGGACGAGGGCGGCTTCGGCGACTACTTCGACCTCGCGACGGAGTCGCTCCGCGCGAAGAGTGCGCTCCTCCGCAAGCAGATCGCGGACCGGGAGCGCATCATCGACGCCCTCGACGCGGCGTCGGCGGAGTTGGAACTTTGCCGGGGCGACGCGGCGACGCGCGAGGCCGAGGCGCGCCGCGTCCGCGACGTCGCGCGGCGCCGCGTCGCGGAGCGCCTCGCGCACCTGGGGCGCGCGCGGAGCGCGCTGGCGCGGGGCGCCATGATCTCGGGCACGGCCGTCGCGCCCCTCGCGGGCCGGGTCGCGGCCGTCGTCGACCGGCTCGTCGAGGCCGCGCGGCGCGTCGCGCGGCTCGACGCGGGCGTCCGCGCGGCGCACGCGACGCTCGCGGCCGTGACCGTCGAGTGGCAGCTCGCCAAGCACGACAAGCCCCACCTCAAGCACCTGCCCCTCAGCGAGCGCGCGTCGAACGTCGTCCGCGCGTGCGCGCGGTCGCGCCGCGAGCTCCGCGTCATCTCGCGCGAGGCGCGCGCCGCCGGCGAGCCCGACGACACCGTCGACGCGGCCCTCGCGCGCTTCGACGCGCTCCCGCGGCCCAACGACGCCGTCTGGCAGCACGAGACGGTCCCCGACGCGGACGCGGCCGCGTACCTCGCCTACGACGCGGGCGACGACGACGACGACGACGACGGCGGCGGGGAGGCGGCGCGACGGGATCCCTAGGGGTGTGTGTGTGTGTCTCCATCGACGCCCGGGGAGGCTTCCAAGTAGGCTTCCCCAAGGCGCGGCGATTCCCGAACTGCAACGTCAAGTAAAAAATCAAGAATCAAGTATCCATCGGTTAGGGGCTCAGCGCGCTTTGCGCTTTGGTGGGACCGGGAGCGCGGCGCGGCGCGCGGACGACACCTCGACCCCCCCTCTCCAACAAACATGACGGCGCCCACGGCTCGGAGCAGCGGCGAGCCCGTGGCGGCGTGCTCGTCGAAGCCGGAAAAACCGACGCGCATGAAGCGGAAGCAGCGCGCGCTGCGCGCCGCGGGCCCCAGCGGCGCGAAGACGGACCTGCCGGACCGGCGGCGGCTCTGCGAGGAGATGCTCCAGAGCGGCTTCGTCCAGTCCTACGTGGACTTCTTCTACCTCACGCACCGGCCCGACCCCGAGGAGCTGACGCTCGCCGAGGGCGCGGGCGGCGACCTCGGCGCCGGCGGCGGCGGCGGCGGCGACGACGGCGGGCGGGGCGGCAACGCGGAGGTGCGGGACATCCAGGTGCCCCCCGACGAGATGGTCTACATCCGCGACAACCTGACGCACGCCGAGACCGCGCGGCGCAAGGGCGACACGGCGACGGTCTACGCGGCCTACAGCAATCTGGCCCAGTACTTCCAGGAGCGGTCCGGCGACCCGAAGACGGGCGTCTACTTTTACGAGAAGTGCCACGAGATCGCGCGGCTCACGGGGGACCACCGCGGCGAGATGGCCGCGAACCACGACCTCGGTTTGGCGCACACGATCATCGGCGACGTCGACGGCGCGACGCGGTACCACGAGCGCCACCTCGAGATGGCCCGGGGTTTGGACGACCACCGCGAGATGCGCGCGGCGTCGAAGCAGCTCATCGACGTCTACCGCGCGGCCGCGGAGGAGCGCGAGGCCGCGGGCGACGCGGACGCGGCGGCGCGCGAGCACGAGCGGTGCCTCGAGGCCGCGCGGAACGCGGGCGACGCCCAGGCCGAGGCGCGCGCGGCGCTGGCGTTGGGGCGGGCCCTCGTGGTCCGCGGCGAGGAGTTCGCGTCCGAGGCCGTGCGCACGCTCGAGACCGCGGAGCTCCTGTGCTCGAAGCTCGGCGACGCCGAGGGCGAGGGCCGCGCGTCCGCGGCCCTCGCGGCGGCCTGGCGCGCCAAGGGCGACGACGACCGCGCCCGCGAGTACCTCGAGCGCTGCCTCGAGCACGCCCAGGTCACGGACGACCTCGCGGCGCAGGCGGCCGCGTGCCGCACGCTCGGCGCGTTGCACTCGGCGCGCGGCGACTTCAACCGCGCCGTCGAGCTCCTGCAGCGCAACTTCTCCATCGCGCGCCAGCTCCTGGCGTCGGGCGACGCGGACACGGCCCTCGTGGACCGCGCGCGCGTCCACCTCGGCATCGCGCTCGGCAACGAGGCGCTCGGCAACTACCTCCGCGCGCTCCAGACGGACTTCCCGGCGCTCCTCGCCTGGAAGAACGGCCGCGACGCGCTCCCGGCGGCGGAGAAGGAGGACAAGGGCGACGAGGACGAGGAGGACGAGGACGAGGACGACGAGGACGACGAGGACAACTAGCGCGCGGCCGCGGCCGGGCGGCGCGCGTCGCGACGACGCCTAGAGAACTAGGGAGACCCTTCGTGCGTGGGACCTCGGCGGCTCGCGGGGATCGCGCTCGTGTCCTTCGTGCGTGGTGTTAGGGGCCTCGGACGCGCGCGCGGCGGCGGGCGGCGCGGCGCCTAGAAGTGGATGGGCTGGGAGGACGCGGCCATGCAGGCCTCCTTCATGGCCTCGGAGAGCGTCGGGTGGGCGTGGCAGGTGCGCGCGATGTCCTCGGAGGACGCGCCGTACTCCATGCCGAGGACGCCCTCGGCGATCATCTCGCCCGCGTTGGGGCCGATGATGTGGACGCCGAGGATGCGGTCCGTGGCCTTGTCGCAGAGGACCTTGACGAGGCCCTCGGAGTCGCCGACGGCGCGGGCCCGCGAGTTGGCGGAGAAGGGGAAGGAGCCGACGACGTAGTCGACGCCCTCGTCCTTGAGCTGCTCCTCGGTCTTGCCCGCGGTCGCGAGCTCCGGGTGCGTGTAGATGACGCCGGGGATGACGTCGTAGTTGACGTGGCCCGCGAAGCCCGCGATGGACTCGACGCAGGCGATGCCCTCCTCCTCGGCCTTGTGCGCGAGCATGGGGCCGTCGACGACGTCGCCGAACGCGTAGATCGACGGGATCTTCGTCTTGAAGTGCTCGTCGACGACGACGCGGCCGAGCTTGTCCGTCTCGATGCCCAGCGCGTCGAGGCCGAGCTTGTCCGTGAAGGGGCGGCGGCCCGTGGCGACGAGGACGACGTCGAAGCGGTCCGTCGTCTCCTTGGACGGGTCCTTCGCGGGCGCGTGCGTGAGCTCGACGCCGCCATCGACGACCTCGGACGCGACGACGCCCGTGTTGAGCTTGAACTTCATGCCCTGCTTCTTGAGCACGCGGAGGAAGGCCTTGCCCACCTCCTTGTCGACGCCGGGGACGATGTTGCCGAGGTACTCGACGACGGTGACCTTCGTGCCCAGGCGGCGCCAGACGGAGCCCATCTCGAGGCCGATGACGCCGCCGCCGACGACGGCCATGGTCTTGGGGATCTTGTCGAGCACGAGGGCCCCCGTGGAGTCGACGATCTTGCCCCCCGCGTTGTCGACGGGGCACGGCGGCAGCGGCGACGGCTCGCTGCCCGTCGCGATGAGGATGTTCTTCGACTCGACGGCCTCGGAGCCGCCGTCGTTGAGCGCGACGGCGACGGAGTTCGGGCCCGTGATCGTGCCGTGGCCCTGGAGGTAGTCGACCTTGTACTTCTTGAACAGGAACCTGGGCGGTGCGACCGGTTTCCACTCGTTTCGGCTGATTCTTGGACGAGCGATCGTCTCTCGGAGCGCTCTCGAAGCGTGGATTATGTTTCCGGAACGCGCGCGCGCGGAACACTCGCGTCGAAACACCCGTTCGCGGCCCCGAGACGAGCTCGATGCCGCCGGTGAGGCTGTCGACGCTCTTGCTTTTGTTCGCCATCATCTGGTCGAGGTCCACCGTGACGTCGCCGCAGTCGATGCCGTGCACCTTGAAGTGGCTCGTCGCCTCCTCGTAGAGGTGGCTGCTGTGGAGCAGCGCCTTCGACGGGATGCAGCCGACCTGCGGCGGGGGGTCGCGCGTCGCGCGCGCGGGCGACGGTGCGCGCGCGCGGACGCGGCGAACGCACGTTTAAGCACGTTCCGCCCAGCGTCCCCCGACTCTCGACGCACGCCGTCTTCAGCCCCAGTTGGGAGGCCTTGATGGCGGCGACGTAGCCGCCTGGGCCGCCGCCGATGACGACGACGTCGTACTGCTCGCCCGCCGCGCTCAGCGCGCGGGTCGCGGCGAAGCGGTGCGAGGCCGCGAGGCGGCGGCCGGACGCGGCTAACATGGTGAGCTCGGAGAAGCGCGCGCGCGAGTGGCCGTCGGCGCGATGGAAATTGCTGAGGCAGGAGGTTGGCGACGCCGTCGACCTTGCCGGCAATGTGGATGTTTACTCGCGTCCGCGCGCGCCGCGGTCCTCCCTAAAAGCTCTTGCGGTGGATGATGGACTCGTCGTCCTCCCACTCCTGCTTCATGATGCGGACCTGCTTGAACGTCTCGAGGGACGCGAACATGGAGCCGCCGATCCACGCGGCGAACTTGCGCTGGCTGTTGTAGCCGCGCTCCGCGGTGCCCGTCGGGTTCGGCCCCGGCACGACGCGGAGGTGGCCCTCGGGCAGGATCGCGCTGAGCTCCGCCTTCATGCGGTCGCAGAAGCCCGGCAGCATGGTCGTGCCGCCCGCGAGGACGACGGCGCCGCGCAGATCCGGCTGGAAGTCGCGGTCGCACATGCCGATGGACTGGGCGACGAGCTGGGGCAGGGCCAGCTGGTCCGCGCGCCCGCCGAACAACACCTGGGGCGCCGCGCCGCGCCAGGCGCCCGCGACCTTGACCATGGTCCCGTCCGGCAATTCGTATTCGACGTCGGCGAACGCCGCTCCGGGCGGCGCCGCGGCCTTGCCGTCGGCCGGCGGCGGCGGCGCCGCGGCGCCGTCCGGGCCCGGGGCCGCGGGCGTCCCCGGCTGGGCCAGGGGCTGCGCGCGGCAGAGCTTCTCCTTCATGTCGCGGACGACGTTGAAGCCGAGCGTGCTGCCCGTGCGCCGGAGGTTCGCCGCGAGCGCGGACGTCACGTCCTGGCCCGCGAGCTCGCTCCGGAGCACGGCGTGGGCCAGGGCGAAGCCCTCGAAGACGGGCACGGCGTGGCTCACGCCCGCGCCGCTCTCGAGGACGACGCCGCGCGTCCGGCCCGACGCGAAGAGCGACAGCGACGCGGAGTTGAAGAAGCAGAGCGCGGGCACCTTGAAGGTCTCGAACATGATCTGGGCCGCGCGCTCCCGCGCCGCCGCGGGCGTGCCCGGGGCCTCCGCGAGGAGCACGCTCAGGCCGCCGTGCGCGCCGCCGGACGCGGACGAGCCCTCGGGGTACTGGTGGAGCTCGCGGCCAAAGGTCACGTCCCAGAGCCGCTCCATCTTCTCCCAGTTGCCCTCGGCGACGAGGCCGTGCTGGATCGGGTGCTGCGCCGCGTTCTCGAAGTGGCACTCCACGGACTCCGGCCGCCGGCCCCCGGACCGCGCCAGCCCCGACAGCGCCTCGGCCCCGCCCTCGTCGAGGATCGACGGGAAGACGGACCGCGGCGTGTCCTCGCCGCTGTAGCCCGCCTTGACGCTCGCCGACCCGGCGTCGATGACGATGCAGTCGCCCACCTCCATCGTCGCGGTAGTAGTCCCGGTCCGGTTATCGTTTGGCAGCGCTGAATTAATGCTGAATTATACACGGGGTGAGGCCGACATTTTACTTGGGGCAGCCCTTACAAGCCCTAACGATGCCTCCACCCAAGGAGGCGCGGAGGCCCTCCGAGGTCCGGCGGCGGACCCACAACTTCGGCGCGGCGCCGGCGGCGCCGGCGCAGCCCCGGGGCCCGCCCCCGCGGCAGCCGCCGCCGCCGCAGGCCAGGGCCGTGCCCGCCTTCCCCGAGCCGAAGCACGAGCCCAAGGGCCCGCTGCGCAAGGTCGACAGCCTCAACGAGTACAAGGGCCAGCGCGCGTCGGCGGCGCAGCACTACTCGCCCATCGCCCGGCCCTCGGCGGGCGGCATCCAGCGCGTGTCGCTGAGCGCCATGGCGGGCAACAAGAACGTAAAATTCATGCCGCCGAAGAACGCCGCGCCGCCGAAGCTCCTCGCCAAGGCCGCGCCGCCCCGCGACGCGCCCAAGCCGACGGGCGCGAGGATACACCAGCACGCGCCCGCGGCCGAGAAGACGCTCTCGCCCGAGTGGACCCAGCACTGGGACGAGGAGGTCGGCTCCCACTACTACTTCAACTCGACGACCGGCGAGGCGACCTGGGTCCAGCCGACCTAGCGTAACGGGTCCCCGGGAGGGTCCGCGGTCGCCGCACGCATGCGGCTCGAGGTGCGCCGGCGCGCGCGCGCACGGCGTCGGCAGACGGTCACTGAGACGGTCGACGGCGTCGGCGCGCGCCGCGCTGCCACCGATCCACCGTGCGACGCGAACCGTCGCAAGCACCAACGAGCACGCCGACGCGCGCGGGCGCGGATCGACCTACGCTGGTGCGCCACGAGCACCAACGCGCGCGTCGGACACGACTCGCTACGAACTGCGCGCCTGCAGCGCCGCGGCCACGACTCGCCGCGCGACGCGCCGCCGCCGCCTGAGGCGATGGGCATCACGGGCCTGAACAAGTTATTGCGGCCCCTGTCGCGCGACGTCGACGCGCGCGACTACGCGCAGCTCGCGGCGGGCGTCGACGGCTCCGCCTGGCTCCACCGGGCCTACTGGGGCGCCGTCGCCGAGGACGTCGACGAGCCGGCCGAGCTCGAGGCGCGCGTCTGCGCGTATTTCGAGAAGTACGCCGCCGTGCTCGCGACGGAGCTCGACGTCGCCGTCACCGTCGTCTTCGACGGCGCGCCGCCGGCCCAGAAACGGGCGAAGACGCTCAAGGGGACCGCCGGCCCGCCGCGGCCGTCGCCGCAGAGCTTCGTCGCCGCGGTCCGTAACACACTCGCGCCGCTGCGGAACTGCGCGACGCTCGTCGCGCCCGCCGAGGCCGACGCGCAGCTCGCGTTCCTCGCGCGGCGCGGCGACGTCGACGTCGTGCTCACGGACGACGCGGACCTCGTCGCCTTTGGGTGCCCGCGCGTGCTCCTCGGCGCGCGCGTCGTCGACGGCGACGGCGAAAGCGGCCGCACGCTCCGGGGCGACGAGTTCGCGCTCGCGGACCTCGGCGCGGACGCCGCGGGCCACCCGGCGCGCTTCTGCGACTGGTCCGAGGACGCCTTCCTGAGCTTCTGCGTCGCGTGCGGCTGCGACTACTGCCCGCAGGTCCGCGGCGTCGGGCCCGTGCGCGCCCGCGAGCTCGTCGAGTCGCAGCGCGACCCGGAGCGCGTCGCCGCCGCGCTCGCCGAACTGCCCAACGCGCCGCCGGACTACGCCGCGACCTTCCGGCGGGCCTTCGCGCTCTTCCGCCACCAGCGCGTCGTCGACCCGTCGACGGGCGACGAGGCGCACCTCCGGCCCATCGCGGGCCTGGACCGGTCCCTGCTGGGGCTACCGCCCTTCGACGGCGACGGCCGCGACGACTTCGTCGAGCTCTTCGGGCCCCTCGCCGCGCGCGGCGGGGGCGACGCGTCGCCCGCGGACGCGCCCGCGGCCGCGGAGGCCGCGTTCGAGCAGGACACGGACGAGGACGCCGGCGCTCCGCCGGCGGCGCGGCGGGCGCGCAAGCGAGAGGCGCCGCGCTGCTTCGTGTAAGTCGTAGAGGCTCGAGCTCTCAGGCAGAGATAAGTGCACGGTCGCTGCACTGCCAAGATTCGTGTGGAGTCGGTTTCATCTTGTGCCTCGCGTTGCGATACTTTGCGAGGCTAGCGGCGCCGCCGCGGGACACGGTCCGATGGCGACGGACTCGGTTTCAGCGCACGTGGCGGCGCAGCAGAAGAAATGGGAGGAATACCTCGCGAAGCACGCGGTGGAGAAAATCTACCGCGACATGACCGCTGAGATGATCGCCGAGCAGCCCGAGTCGCCGGCGCGCCGCGCGGCGCCCGACGGCCGACGCGCGCCTCCGATCCCGAGCGCGCGTGTTCACAGGTCAAATTCATGTACGCCTACCTCGCGAAGAACTACCCGGAGGTCACGGCCGGCGAGGCCGGCGGCGCGGCGCCGCCCGCGGCCGACGAGCCCGCGGCCGACGCGGCCGAGGAGGAGGCCTACGACAGCGAGCTCGAGGAGGACGACGACGAGGACTACGCCGACTTCATCCCCGCCAAGCCCGTGGACAAGACGAAGAAGCGCGGCTCCATCGTCAGCGAGAAGGTCGAGGTCGCGGACGACTGGAAGCCCCCGGTCTACGACAAGCCCGACGCGGACACGAAGTTCGTCACGGACATCCTGCCCAAGCTCTTCTTCCTCAGCGGCCTCACGCGCAAGGAGCTCGGCGTCCTCGTGGGCGCCATGAAGGAGATCCCCTTCGCGCCGGGCGCGGACATCATCAAGCAGGGCGAGGAGGGCGACATGTTCTACATCGTCAAGGACGGCATCTGCGACATCGACGTCGAGGGCGTCGGCAAGGTCATGGAGATCCCCTGCCCGTCCAAGGAGGACCCGACCGTGCTCCGGCGCTACTTCGGGGAGCTCGCGCTGCTCTACGACGCGCCGCGCGCGGCGACGGTGAAGGCGCGCGACGCGGTCACGTGCTTCGGCCTCGACCGCAAGACCTTCAAGTCCATCCTCCAGGACACGGCGACGAAGCAGCGCCTCCTCTACGCCGACTTCCTCGCCCAGGTGCCCCTCTTCAAGGGCTTCTCGCAGGACAAGCTCAACTCGCTCTGCGACGCGCTCCAGGCCAAGGACTTCGAGCAGGGCGACGTCATCATCAAGGAGGGCGACCACGGCCACGACTTCTACATCATCGAGACGGGCACGGCGGAGTGCACCCAGTCCATCTCCGGCGCCGAGGTCTCCGTCTGCCCGACGCTCGGCTCCGGCGCGTTCTTCGGCGAGCTCGCGTTGCTCAAGGACGCGCCCCGCGCGGCGACGGTGACGGCGTCCTCGAAACTCTCGACGGTCCGCATCGACCGGGCAACCTTCAAACGCATGATCGGCGACATCTCCGCCGTCAAGAAGGACTACGCCAAGGTCAAGTAGAAGCGGGCCCGCGCGCGGCCCGCCGAGCTCCCGCGCCCGCCCCGCCGCCCCCGCCCCCCGGCCGGACGCGCCCCCACACCGATAAAGTTTCCGCATCTCTTACTTTTGCAGCGACCCGGGCAGGCTCGCGCGCCGCGCTGCGCGGCTCGCGTCGGCCTTGGCCTTGTTCGCCGCCGCGGTCTTGGCCGCCTGCGCCTGGAGCGCCGACGGCGCCGACCCGCCGGCGGCCCGCCGCGGGGGCGCGGCGACCGCCGGCTTCGGCGCCGGCTTCGGCACCGCCTTCGGGGGCGCCGGCTTCGCCTTGGCGGCCGGCGCCGGTTTCGGCGCGCCGCCGAAGGAGAAGGCGGGCTTTTTGGCCGCCGGCGCCGGCGCGGGCGTCGGCGCCTTGGCCTTGGGCGCGCCGCCGAAGGAGAAGGCGGGCGTCTTCGGCGCGGGCGTCGGTGCCTTGGCCTTGGGCGCGCCGCCGAACGAGAAGGCGGGCTTCTTCGGCGCGGGCGTCGGCGCGGGCGTCGGCGCCTTGGCCTTGGGCGCGCCACCGAACGAGAAGGCGGGTTTCTTCGGCGCGGGCGTCGGCGCAGGCGTCGGTGCCTTGGCCTTGGGCGCTCCGCCGAACGAGAAGGCGGGTTTCTTCGGCGCGGGCGCCGGCGCGGGGCTCGGCGCCTTGGCCTTGGGAGCGCCACCGAAGGAGAACGCGGGTTTCGGCGCGGGCGCCGGCGCGGGGCTCGGCGCCTTGGCCTTGGGAGCGCCACCGAAGGAGAACGCGGGTTTCGGCGCGGGCGTCGGCGCCTTGGGCGCCGGCGTCTTGGCCTTGGGCGCGCCGCCGAAGGAGAATGCGGGTTTCGGCGCGGGCGTCGGCGCCGGCGTCTTGGGCGCGGGCGCCTTGGGAGCACCGAAGAAGGAGAACGCGGGAGCCTTCGGCGCCGCGGGAGCCTTGGTGGCAGCGGCCTTGGCCTTGGCAGCACGGTCCGCTTCGGCCTTGGCCTTGGCGGCGGCGTCGGCCTTGGCCTTCGCAGCCGCGTCGGCCTTAGCTTTGGCGGCAGCGTCGGCCTTCGCTTTCGCGGCGGCGTCCGCTTGAGCCTTGGCGGCGGCGTCCGCCTTGGCCTTGGCAGCCGCGTCGGCCTTGGCCTTCGCGACAGCGTCCGCCTTGGCCTTTGCGGCAGCGGCAGCGGCGTCGGCTTTCTCTTTCGCGAGCTTCGCGGCGGCATCGGCCTTGGCCTTGGCGGCCGCGTCCGCCTTCGCCTTGGCAGCCGCGTCGGCCTTAGCCTTGGCGGCAGCGTTCGCCTTGGCCTTGGCGGCGGCGTCCGCTTGAGCCTTGGCCTTTGCGGCGGCGACAGCCTGAGCCTTGGCCTTCACGTCGGCCGCCTTGGGCGCCGTGGGCTTGGGTGCTGCCTTGGCGGCGGGCTTGGGCGCTGCGGGCGCTTTCGGCGCGCCGCCGAAGGAGAAGGCGGGTTTCGGCGCGGGCTTGGGGGCCGGCGCCGGCGTCTTGGCCTTGGGCGCGCCGCCGAACGAGAAGGCCGGCTTCGGCGCGGGCGTCGGCGCCTTGGGCGCCGGCGTCTTGGCCTTGGGCGCGCCGCCGAACGAGAAGGCCGGCTTCGGCGCGGGCGCCGGCGCCTTGGGCGCCGGCGTCTTGGCCTTGGGCGCGCCGCCGAACGAGAAGGCCGGCTTCGGCGCGGGCGCCGGCGTCTTCGCCGCGAGCTTGGGCGCAGGCTTGGGCGGCGCCTTGGCCACGGGCTTGGGCGCTGGTTTCGGCGCCGGCTTGGGCGCCGGCTTGGGCGCGACCTTGGGCGCCGCGGCCTTGGGCGCCGCGGGCGCCTTGGGCGCGCCGCCGAAGGAGAACGCGGGCTTGGGCGGCGCCTTGGGCGCGGCCTTGGGCGCGGCCTTGGGCGCGGCCTTGGGCGCCTTCGGCGCGCCGCCGAAGGAGAACGCCGGCTTCTTCGGCGCGGGCGTCTCCTTCGGCGCGGCCTTCGGGGCGGCCGCCTTCGGCGCGCCTCCGAAGGAGAAGATGGGCGCCTTGACGACGGGATTCGCGGGCGGCGCCTTCCTCGCCGGCGCCGCGGCGACCTTCGGGGCGGCCTTCGGGGCGGCCTTCGGGGCCGCCTTGGGCGGCTTGGGCGGCGCGGCGCCGAAGGCGGGCAGGTCGACCTTGGGCAGGTCGAGCTTCGGCGCCGCGACCTTGGGAGCCGCGAGCTTCGGCGCCGCCGCCGGGGCCTTGGGCGCCGCGGCCGCCTTGGGCGCGCCCGCGGACGAGACCTTGGCCTGGAGCGTCTTCGGCAGGGCCTCGACGGCGGCCTTGGCGTCCGCGACCTGCTTGGAGGCGCCGTCGACGGCCGCGGCGGCGTCCTTCCGCGCCTGCGACGCGGCCGCGGCCGTCGACTCGGCGGCGGCCACGACGGGCGCGACGGCGTCGCCGATGGACGCCGCCGTGGCCTCGTAGGCCGCGCCGACGCCGTCGACGAGGCGCTCCGCGGGGCCGAGCACCGCGCGCGCCGCGTTGTCGGCGGCGTCGATGCGGAAGCCCGCGGACACGCGGAAGACGCGGCCGTCGGCGTCGAGGTGCACGCCGACGGCGCTCAGCGCGCCGTCGCCCTCGGCGCAGTCGATCCAGACGCGGCGCGCGTCCACGAGGGCGTCGACGCGGAAGTTCGAGAACCGCGGGCCCGCGGGGCGCCAGGGCCTCCGCCGGAGCGCGCCCGCGAGGTCCGTCGCCGCGAAGGCGTCGCCGACCAGGGTGAAGTCGGACGCGAAGAGCGCCTGCTCCTCGGGCGACGCCGGCGCGTCGGCGAGGAGGACCTCGAGCGCGGCCGCGGCGATGCCGAACCTGGGCAGGAAAAGGGTGCGAAATTCCCAACTTCAAAGGCTCCTATCTCGGTCGCTTTCCGCTCGTTTCGGCTGATTTTTCGACGAGCGATCATCTCTCGGAACGGTCTCGAAGCGTGGATGCTTTTCTCGAAACGGGCGCGCGCGGAACACTCACGTTGAAGCGACGTTGAATCACCCTTGTCCTGCCCTGTGCCGAACATGGCGGGCGCCGCGAGCGGCGGCGCGGCGGCCGCGACGCCGCGCGGCAGCGGGTTCCGCGGCCGCGCCAGGAAGCCGCTGAGGAAGCGCTGCACCGAGCCCTCGGCGGCGCCGGGCAGCGCGCCGCCGCGGTCCAGCGCCGCGCCGACCTCGAGCGACGTGCACTTGCCCGACCCGTCGAACGCCGCGGACCCGGCCACGAAGCTCCGGAAGGGCCCGGACGCCCCGGCGTCGCCGTAGGGCTCGACGATCGTGCCCTCGCGCGTCACCGTGAAGTAGACGCGGCCGCCGAACTCGCGGAACTCGCCCGCCGCGAAGCCGAAGTCGGAGCTCGCGGCGCGGAGCCCGCCGACCGCGGGCTTGGCCCGGCCGTAGCGCCGCTTCGTGAAGACGGCGCCCGTGCCGCGGTCCGTGAACTCGAAGTCGTCGGCGAGCAGGGCCGGCGACACCTCGCCGAGGTCGCTGCCGACGAGCGCCGCCGCGGCGGCGAGCGCCGGCGACGTGGCCTCGGCGTCGTAGCGCTTGATGTCGACGACGCCCAGGCGCGTCGCGGACCGCTGCGCCGGCGCGGCGGGCGCCACGAACGCCGCGCAAGGCGCGAGCAGGCACAGGATGGTCGTCGCGCGCACGAGTCGCATCGTCACAGCCTCTTCCTCTTCCCCCTCGCGTGGCGCGAGGGCGACCGTCCGGGCACTTTGACGTCGCCGTCGACCTCGGGACGCCGTCGCCGCCGCGCGGCGCCACCCGTACACCGCGCCACCTTACCCGATCGCGTGCGGTATCGCCGCGTGCCGGGGCTCGGCGCCGCGCAGGACCGCGTCGAGGATCTGCTTCGCGCGGAGCGACCAGAACCAGACGTCCCTCGGCGACGCGCCCCGCTTGGAACTCCCGCGCGGCGGCTCGTCGCCGAGGTCGGCCGCGCACGAGTTGATGTCCGTCGCCGCCAGGGGCACGGACACGGAGCGGGCCGCCTGGCCCTCGAGGCTCAGCCAGAGGATGTCGTGCATGTCCACGTCGGCCGCGGCGTCGCCCCAGACGGAACCGTGGAACGCCGCGAAGCTGTAGCGCGCGCCCCGGCGGAACTTGTGGCGCGCGTCGCAGGCCGCGGCCGACCGGCGGTCGAAGCGGTCGCCGCCGACCTCGGCGCTCGCGCCGCGGAGGCGGCTGACCGTGCGGTTCGAGTTCCGGAGCCGGGCCTCCGCGGCGCGGAGCGCCGTTTTGCCGCCGAGGCAGAACGTCCCGACGGGCTCCAGGGCGCCGCAGGTGTCGCGTCCAATGACATCAACAACAGCGCCCTCGACGAGGTAGCCGGCGCGGAAGCGCCGCTGGTGCGTGTGGAAGTGCGCGCCCGCGAGGCGCCCGGCCAGCGGCATGCGCGTCGACCACCACGAGACCGTGTCGTCGCCAGGGATTTTGTAGGTCCCCCAGGGCATGGTCTGCCGCGGGCTGTGGAGCCAGACCTGGTTCACCGGCGCGCACGGCGCCGTCGCAAAGGCGAAGCGCAGCCGCACGGAGAACGCGAGCGCGCCCGCCTCGGAAACTTTCGCGCGGACGTCGTCGGTCTCGGCCGTCGCGACGAAGGACCCCGCCGGGTCCCGGTACTCGTTGGTGAAATCGGGCCGCCCGTCGTAGGCGACGCAGGTGCCCGGGGCCCAGGACGTGTTCCACGCGCCGGACGCGTCGACGAAGTCGCCGTGCGTCTCGAAGACGTGGAAGTCGACGCCGTCGGCGCCGTCCTGCACGTGCAGGTGGTGCACGCGGAGCGGCGGCGACCCGACGGGCGCGCCGTCGGCGCCGACGGGCCCGCCGAAGAAGGACGTGATCCGCCGGTTCCGCAGGAGCGCGTAGGGGAACTCGCAGGCGTGGGCCACCATCTCGCCGGGCAGCGTGCCGGCGGCCGAGGCGCCGGCGAGCTCGAGCTCGAGGAACGCGGCGCTCCGCGACACGACCTCGCAGCGCGGCATGCGCCGCGAGGTGCCGCGCGCGACGAGGAGCGCGACGGCTGCGCGGAGCATCGGGGGATGTCACACCATCGTGTTGACCCTGGGCAGCCCGTCCAAACGCTGAAGCGGAGGCGCCGGCCGCTGGGGTGCGGCGCTGCGTTGCCACCGCTAGCGGCGCGCCGCGAGGAGCGCCATGGCGCCGGGCAGGAGCATGGTCGGCGCGGACCTCTACGACTGGGAGAACACGGAGTACCCGAAGTTCGAGCTGGAGAAGCTCAACCCGCGGGACCCGGACTTCGTGAAGAGCGACTTCACGGACCGGGACATCGTGCTCGCGCTGCCGCCGGCGCCCTACGTGCCGCCCGAGGACAAGCGGAAGCAGATCCGGCCCGGGACGCTGGCGAGCTACCCGGCGATCCTCTGCCCGCGGAACCGTACCGTCGGGTTCACGCGCGCGCAGCTCCAGGGCGCGCGCTTCGCGCGCGAGCTCGAGCACGAGCTGTCGTCCGACGGGTCCTGGACGCCGGGCAAGAAGCCCGGCGACATGTACGGCAAGCCCTGCTGGCAGAAGCGCGACTCGGGCTTCCGCCACGGCTTCCTCAGCGTCAAGGTGAACCGGAAGCTCGCGCGAAAAGCGGTGAACACGGCGACGCTGGCGACGGGCCAGCGCTTCCACGACATCCTGGGCGCGCCCAAGTTCCGGCGCGACGGCAAGCGGGCGACGGCGCTGGAGCAGACGGCCGTCGACGACAAGTGGACGCTCTGCCACTTCCTCGTCCGCTACGGCAAGCTCGAGGCGCGCTGGGTCTGCGGCCAGCCCCACGAGTACAGCCACGGTTTTGTGTTTTCCGTGGGCCACGAGCCCTTCTTCGTCGTGGACATGAAGGGCGTCGGCCGGCGGCGGCCCGTCGTGTCGTTCGTGACGTCGCGGCTCTTCGAGAACGACCAGGTCTTCAAGCTGAGCAACCACGAGGTCATGTTCTACGCGACGTCCGTCGGCGACGGCGGCCTCTCGGACAAGCAGTTCCGCTACTGGGTGCGCGCCCTGCAGCACCGCACCTTCACGACGGAGGTGACGAAGTACGGCCCGGAGCCCGTGCCGCCCCGGGCCGTGCGGTCCACGAAGGACGGCCGGCCCGTCATGGGCGCCGCCGTCAAGATGCGCGTGAAGCAGACGTGCGTCATCTGCCGCGCGGGCGCGGGGCCCTGGCACCCGCGGCCCCGCGTCTTCGCGCTCCCGCCGCACGGCCTCTACCACAGCGACGTCTGCTGCGACAAGTGCGTCGAGAGGAACGCGGAGAGCTTGCTGATCGAGCGCATGAAGTCGGCGTCCGTGGACACGGACGCCATGCGCGTCCACGAGAGCGAGTACCTGTTCAAGCACCAGCACGCGCCGCAGCCCTTCGACTGGTTCGTGCCGGACCCGCACCCGGTCATCCGCCCCATCTCCGAGGACCACGGCGTCGGCGAGGCGGCGACGGGGCCGTCGCGCGACGAGGGCGACGGCCGCGCGGCGGCCATGTACGCCCACGACGCCAAGGAGGAGGCCCGGAATTTACCGGACGGCCCGAAGCGCGTCGCGCTGCTCGCGTACGCGGACACGTTGAAGCTCGCGGCCGCGGACGCGCGGCGCAACGTCTCCGCGGCGGCGGCCGTCGCGTCGGCGCTGCGCATCACGTCCGTCGTCAAGGCGAAGGATCTCACCGTCGACGAGGACATCGACCTGGAGGTGCTGAAGGTCGAGTACATGCGCGACGCCATCGCGACGCGCGCGCCGCCGGCAGGGCAGCAAAAGGGTGCGAAATTCCCAACTTCAAAGGCTCATATCTCGGCCATTTTCCACTCGTTTCGGCTAATTCTTGGACGAGCGATCATCTCTTGGAACGGTCTCGAAGCGTGGATGCTGTTTCCGGAACGCGCGCGCGCGGAACACTAACATTGAAGCGACGTTGAATCACCCTTTTGCTGCCCAGGCCCCCGGAGCACGCGGGCAACCGGGAGCGCTGGAAGTCCTTCGTCCACTCGAAGACGGCCGACGCCGTCGAGGCGCGGCTCCGGCGGACCCTCGAGGTCTACTACGACGCGTTCCTCGACGACGCGCTGCCCCGGCTCTGCGGTGTCGTCGCCGCGAACGCGCTCGAGGACCACGCGGCGCTCCAGGCGAAGAAGCTGGCCAAGAAGATCAAGAAGTACGTCGCGGAGCTCGAGAAGCACGCGAACCACGCCGTGAAGATCGCCGGCACCGCGCGGAAGCGCGCGGACCGCTGCATCACGCAGTCCGACGGCGCGCTGAAACGCGCGCTGAAGGCCGCGCGCGCGGGCGGCTACGTCCCGCCGGAGCCCAAGAGCCCGCCGAAGAGGAAGGCGCCGCGGGGGTCCTACGTGCCCATGGACGCCGTCGCGCCCAAGGTCCTGAGCGACGAGTCGTCCCTCGACGACTCGCACGTGTCGCTCTCGGACGTCGGCTCGGGCGACGACGACTCGGACGACGAGTCCGGCGAGGACGACGAGTCCGGCGACGAGGCGTCGGGCGACGACGAGGGGTCGGGCGACGAGGGGTCGGGCTCGGGGTCCGGCTCGGGGTCCGGCTCGGGCGAGGAGGACGGCTCGGGCGACGACGACGACGGCTCGGGCGACGACGAGGACGGCTCGGGCGACGACGAGGACGGCTCGGGCGACGACGAGGACGGCGACGGCTCGGGCTCGGGCTCCGGCGACGAGGACGAGGACGGCGGCGGCTCGGGCTCGGGCTCCGGCGACGAGGACGGCTCCGGCTCCGGCTCCGGGGACGGCTCGGGCGACGACGAGGACGGTTCCGGCGACGACGAGGGCTCGGGCGACGACGACGCCACCGGCGACGGCGACGAGGCGTCGGCCACCGGCGACGAGGCGTCGGGCGACCGCGACGGCTCGGGCTCGGGCTCCGGCGACGAGGACGACGAGGACGGGTCGAGCGACGGCGGCCACGAGGAATCGAAGGAAGGGTCGACGGCCGACGAGGACGAGGACGAGGAAGACGGGTCGAGCGACGGCGGCCACGAGGAGTCCAAGGAGGGCTCGACGGCCGACGAGGACGACGACGACGAGGAGGAAGACGGCGAGGAGGACGCGTCGACGGACGCGGACGAGCCCGAGTACCAGTAATGTGCTGTGTTGTTACCCCGCGGGGCACTCGGGGAAGACCTCCGGGATCGCGAGCGCCGGGGGCACGTCGGCCTTGATCGTCGGCGCGAGGTTGTCGTCGGGCACGTAGGCCGGGAACGCCACCGTCCGATCCGGGAGCGGCGGCAGCACGTCGCCGAAGCAGGCCCAGTCCGTCGCGAAGAGCCGGCGGATCGACGCCTCGGCGGCGTCCGACGCGTCGGACTTGGCGAGGTCGCAGGCCGTCAGCGACCACGGGCTGCGGGCCTGCGAGCCGCGCATGTAGTGGACGCCCTCCAAGGCCTCCCGGTCAAGCTTGCTCCGGTTCGCGGCGCTGAGCCAGGGGCTCGGCCACTCGACGCCCGGCCGCGCCGCGCGCGCGCCGAGGATCGGGAGCCGGCCCGCGAGGTAGCGCGCGACGCGGTCGAGCGCTTCGACGCGCGCGACGACGGACGCCTCGGCCGCGAAGGCGTAGCGCGCGAAGGGCTGCACGTGCCGGAACTCCAGGCCGGCCGAGAGGCGGCCGAGGTCCCGGACGCGGCCGAGGCAGCCGAGCCACCGAACGAACTTGTCGACGCGCCGGTCGCGGCCGATTTGGTCGCTGGGCTTCGACGTGTAGTACGCCCGCTCCGCGTCGCTCAGCGACTCGTTCCGCTGGCAGAAGCGCTGGAGCGTGCCCGGCGCGGCGACGTGGTCGTAGCTCGCGACGACGCGCTCCACGGGATCGCGGACGACGGCGACGACGAAATAGCGCGAAACGTCGACGGGGTCCGCGTCGCTCTCGCCGCAGCGGCGCGCCTCGCCGTACCAGCGCCGCGCGAGCGTGCAGTTGTAGAGCTTCGCGAGCGACTCCACGACGTAGCGCGACCCGGCCTTGTGCGGCGTCGCGACGAGAAGCTCGTTCTCGAAGGTCGTGAACCGCAGCGCGAGGTTCCGCACCGCGCCCGTGGCGCATCGCGCGGCGCGGCAACGCGCGATGTCGGCGCTGGTGCGCGTGGCGAATGGACGAACGACGGCTGCGTCGTCGCATTTTGCGGTCGCGCGGTGGGCGAGGAGGAGGAGCCGGACGAGCAGTCGTTCCATCGCATCGCCGGCGTCTCTCTGGGCAGCCTTATCGCATCACCGGTGTCTCTCGGGCAGCCTTATCGCATCCTCAACGCAGTGGCCGGACTCGGGCAGCCTTATCGCTTCATTATCGCGACCACTGGACCGTCTCCGGCGCTCACACGCGCGCCCCATCGCACGTGTTGAAGCCGCACTTGTGACATCAACATCCCGTGTCGATGACG